TTTAAACACAAGAGGAACAACTGAGAGATGTGCAATTATGATGCTTCTTTACTTCTTTAACATGTGATAGTCGCATTGGCAGTTTTAAATCTTCAGAGAGTTGTGGAATTTAACCCTTAGTATCTGAGAAGGGGGTGCTGATGTTGCAATTTTCACTACAACTTGAAGATGAACTCAGTGCACTTGAACCCGCCGCAGATTCTGGAAAAAAAACAAGCCACATACAGATTAACAGGTTATTATACAGTTAGGTTTGTATATATTTCTAGATTGCTTCCTGAACTTTTCCCTAAATGGTGTAAAAGAAACTTGCAAAGATGAAACTGAATAAAACCATTTCTGTAAAACAATATAGATACAAACATCTGTATATTAATCCAAAGAGTACAACATTCCACCTAAGGGGAAGGGATATCTAAGCAAAGACAATTTTTAAAAAGATATATGATGAAATATATTTGATAAGTGAAACTAAATGCAATCATCTGCAAAGTGAATCTTACCTGAGCTGCTGAGAGAGAAAGCAGATTTGGAGTTACTGAGTAATGGTATCAGAATGTTGATAGGGACCCACCCTTCTTTGTTTGTGCTCAAGTTCCTCAGATACCTAAAAATACACAATTGCTGTCAAACTGTTGAAAAACTCAGCATCTACAAATCAAAACATTATGGCTAAATTCAGAAGCAATATAGCCGCCCCGTGTTTAGATATAGATTGTATTTGGAATGTAATCTTATATACACTCTGAACATTCCAGATTTCCAGCTGTGATCTGAATGCAAGTTAGACTCTCATTCTCTCATCTCAGATAATCTTTTATCTTGTAAATTCTCTCCTGAGGGGTTCTGGATATGATAACAAATATATTAAATGTAAATTTAGTTTGAGAAACAAATGGAAAAACTTATTGGATTTGTGAATTGGATTAACTTCCCAAGACTCTGCTATTTATACTGAATTGTTTTAGTTGGCTCTATACTGTATTGTTGTAATTTTATCAAAGACTGTTCTTATAAGGGGTGTGTGGAAGCAATATTCTAAGCTTCTTCAAGATTTCTTAAACATGGTTACATATCTAGAATAGTGTATACTGAGCAAAATTATATTTCAATATATTTTGTATTAAAATACAATACCAAAGACCATCTGCTCCTTCATGGATTAGCTGAACTAACTCGCCACTGTTCAGGATCAAGTCATTTGAGTTGCCTTTATCATAAGTGGCTACAACAGTATATTTACCAGGAACCTAAATAGAAAAATGAGAAACCACAATTGTTTAATAAGAAATAATCATCTAAGTATTAGAACTGTCACAATAAATAGATTGACATTTGGGACATAACTGAACAGTGGTATCAGTTTAGTTTTTCCATAAAGAAGCTCCCAAAAGCAGTCTTCTAGGTTAAATTAAAGACCATTTAA